CCCATTATCCAGCTCTGGGCTCTGCTGTCTCTTATCTGACAACATTAGATAAGACAATGTTATCTGACAAAGTTAGTATTGGAAGAAGGAAGATTTTCGTCGGGTCCTAAAAAACTCATCTCTTTCAGTTAGCCGGTCTCTCTTGATTTTATGATTTTATGGTTGGTTTTAAATTTTGATATGGATTTTAAATTGATAAATTTTAAACTATGGGCCAAATTTAATTATTTTAAATCTATTTTTAATCGTACTTTATGTATAAATGTTTTTATTTTGGCTGTTCACCGCCCTGAGTCTGAAAGGAGAAGGGCGGTATAGAAATTCGAATAATAAATAAATAAATAAAAATAAATTTGCCTACGATTGAAGAATGGACACTAAAAGTAGCAAATTTAGCAGAGATAGCCAAAATTTCAGCATATTTGAAGGACTATTCAAATGAAAGATATATTTTGGAATGGAGAAGATGGATTGACTATATTCAAAACAAATATCGGACTAAAAAGTTTCAAATAGTTTATGAATGAAAATAGAGATTTTTAAAAAGTACTTATATTTAGTCAAGTAAAAGGGGAGTTAAAGTACAAAAGGAAGATAGGAGTCTATAGATGGTTAGCTTATGTTTGTTGAATGCTATACCCTGTATTTTGCTCTGGGAAGTCGGGGTGGGGGAGGGTTGAGGAGGGAGTGGGGAGGTGATATGGGAAAATATTTGTAAAATTCTCTAAAACTTTTCAATAAAAAAAAAGTTTTTTAAAAAGTTGGCCACGCCCACTCAGTCATATTATCCCCCCCAAGCCACGCCCACAGAACCGGTAGTAACAAATTTTACATTTCACCACTGGATTGGACAACCACTTGCCTGAAATGTTAGAGTTTCCTGCTTGAGCAGTGGGTTGGACTAGAAGACCTCCAAGTTCCCTTCCAATTCTGGTATTCTGGTATTCTGGCATCTGCCTCTTATATGCTTCTCTCTTATCTTTCTTCTTTCCAAAACAGTGAAATATAAATGTTGAGGGTCATAGGCACCTTTGGAATTTTGAGTCAAGTGTGGGTGTTCTTGCAAAGTGGTTGCCATGGTGATTGTGCCCAGGAATAGAATGATATACAAGAGGTAACCTGATGTATTTGGTGCTCTCTAAAAGCATAAGGTATCCAATTTCTCCTTGATCCCGTATTAAGTAGGAGGGCACTCTGCTGGGTGAAGATGGTTGGACCCAACCCTTGGACTTACAAACCTTTGCTTGAGAAACGAGTAAGGAGTTTTGAATCGCTCCTTCTTGTGTGCAACCTTTCCTAGAACACAGACTAGAATACAGAATTACAGAGTAGGAAGGGACTTTGGAGGTCTTCTAGTCCAACCCCTGTTTAAAACAGGAGAAGCTGTACCATTCAGAACAAATAACTATCCAATCTCTTCTTAATAACCTCCAGTGATGGATCACCCACAACTTCTGGACGCAAGTTGTTCCACTGATTAATTGTTCTTACTGTCAGGAGATGTCTCCTTAATTCTAGGTTGGATCTCTCTTTGATAAACTTCCACTTATGACTTCTAGTCTTGCCCTCAGATGCGGTGGAGAATTAGCTGGATCCCTCTTCTCTGGGACAGTCCCACAAATATTGAAAGACTGCTAGCACATCACACCTAGTTTTTCTCTTCATTAGACTAGACAGACTCAATTCCTGTAGCCATTCATTGTATGCCTTAGCCTCCAGCCTCCTAATCATCTTTGTTGCTCTTCTCTGCACTCTTTCTAGACTCTCAATATCTTTTTTTATATCATGGGGACCAAAACTGGATGGAGTGTTTCAAGTGTGGTCTTACCAGGGCAGTTTAAACAGTAGTAACATTTTGGGTGATCTTGATACTTAATATTAGACATGGTGGTGCAATTTTGGAATGACGGGATTTGTGTGAGGATGTCATCAAATGTTGTAATTTCGACAGCACTGTAGCTTGCCACAGATGCTGTGGGGCTGTTCTAATTTGAAAATTAAAAGTCCAATCTTTTCTTAAAAATCTCAAATGGTGGAGCACCCTTTTCTGTTTCATTGATTGTTATTTTATGGTAAGATGGGTGGCTAATAAAATAGGTAGGTAGGTAGAAAGGTAGGTAGGTAGGTAGGTAGGTAGGTAAGTAGGTAGGTAGGTAGAGATAGATAGATAGATAGATAGATAGATAGATAGATAGATAGATAGATAGATGATAGATGATGGATGGATGGATGGATGGATGGATGGATGATAGATAGATAGATAGATAGATAGATAGATAGATAGATAGATAGATGATAGGTAGTAGGTAGATTGATTGATGGATGGATGGATGATAGATAGATAGATAGATAGATAGATAGATAGATAGATAGACAGACAGACAGACAGACAGACAGACAGACAGACAGACAGACAGATTCTCACTGTCAGGAAATTTCTCCTTAGTTCCTGATTGGCTCTTTCCTTGATAAGTTTCCATCCATTGCTTCTTGTTCTGCCCTCTGGTTTTTTGGAGAATAGGTTGGCCCCCTCTTCTCTGGGATAGCCCCTTAGATATTGGAACCCTGCTATCATGTTACCCCTAATCCAGTGGTGGGATTCAGCCAGTTCGCACCACTTCTGGAGAACCGGTTGTTAACTTTCTGAGCAGTTTGGCAAACTGGTTGTTGGAAGAAATCATTAGGGCAGAGAACCGGTTGTTAAATTACTTGAATCCCACCACTGCCCTAATCCTTCTTTTCATTAAACTAGAGACATACCCAATTCTTGCAACCATTCTTCATATGTTTTAGCCTCCAGTCCAATGAAGAGGAAACAACACGATGTTTCCAGAATAAATGGGGTTCAACATTTTCACCCTATCTATTCTTGGAAGTTGCATTTCTTTCCCCGTTCCATATGCTTCATTATAAAATTGCTATTAAAAAAAGGGTGGGGGAGGGAGTCCAACTTTATTCTGATCAATATACAATGATTTTTAGGTCAGGCACAGTGACTTGCTTCCATTTCAATTGCCGCTTCCTTCCTGTCTCCTATTCCAGTTAGCTGCACACTCTTCCTCTAACAGCTTCTCTCGCTGAAAACGTTAGGATTCTCCACTCTTGCATTAAATCCGATTTTACACATTTTATGACTTGTCATAGTGAAATAATCTAAAATAGCCAGGAAACCTAGGATAGGCTTTAGATGAAAGCTTAAGTGGGGAGAAGGGGTGAGGAAGGCTTTCTATTCAGAATCCTTGAACTACTTTGTCAATGTCACTTTTGTGCCATTTTCAAACCCTCTCATTTGATTCATCGTTAGACCAACTTTTTAAAGAAGGGGGCATTTGTGATTCTCAAAATACAGAAGAAGCTATGTCTAGCTTCAAAAGTGTAACTTTTCTTTCTTTAAGAGTCAACTTATTGACTCTGTCAATATTATTATTGGGTATGTTGTAGTTTAATGAATGGAAGGACCAGGGGTGACATGATAGCAGTCTTCCAATACCCCACAAAGAAGAATGGGTCAACCTATTCTCCAAAACACCTGAAGGCAGGACAAGAAGCAATGGGTGGAAACTAATCAAGGAGAGAAGCAACTGGAACTAAGGAGAAATTCCCTGACAGTTAGAACAATCTACCAGTGGAACGACTTGCCTCTAGAAGTTGTGGGTACTCAAATGCTGGAAGATTTTCAGAAGAGACTGAACAACCATTTGTCTGAAAGTTTCCTGCCTAAACAGAGGGTTGGACTAGAAGACCTCTGAGGTCCCTTCCAACTCTTATCTTCTTCTCTTCTCTTCTCTTCTCTTCTCTTCTCTTCTCTTCTCTTCTCTCTCTCCTCTTCCCTTCCCTTCCCTTCCCTTTTCTTTTTTTTTCTCCAATTTTTATTTATAAGTATAAACTAAACAGAACAATGAAACGTACAAAACATAAAAACATATAAACATCCATTTCAATACATGTCCAGTTTGTTGCAACTATAATATACATTTCTCTTAGTATTTTGAGTCTTCCTTATTTGGTCATTCCCTTTTATCTATCTAATATTGATCTTTGTTGACCTTCCCTTCCATTTTCTATTGTCGTGCAATTGCTCTGTAGACCAAATGCTGGATTGCTTTTATTTTCAGATCCTTTATTTTCAGATCCTTTGAAATGCACAAATGCCTATTTGCTCTTAGACTCTAGAAAGAGTCTCAACATCTTTTTTTATATTGTGATGGCCAAAATTGGATGCAGTATTCCAAGTGTGGTCTTACCAAATTTTAAACATGTGGGAGGGGGGTTATGTTGCTTTCTTTTCTCTTTTGCGCAATGTTGTCTATTCCTTGCATTGGAAAGTCTTATGAACAGAGAAGGCAAAACATAAACACAAGTAAACAGGCTGCCACAAAGAAGAGGGAGTCAAGCTATTCTCCAAAGCACCTGAGGGCAGGACAAGAAGCAATGGGTGGAAACTAATCAAGAAGAGAAGCAACTTAGAACTAAGGAGAAATTTCCTGACAGTTAGAACAATTAATCAGTGGAACAACTTGCCTCCAGAAGTTGTGAATGCTCCAACACTGGAAGTTTTTAAGATGATGTTGGATAACCATTTGTCTGAAGTGGTGTAGGGTCTCCTGCCTAAGCAGAGGGTTGGACTAGAAGACCTCCCTTCCAACTCTGTTATTCTATTCTGTTCTATTCTGTTCTATTCTATTCTATTCTATTCTATTCTATTCTATTCTATTCTATTCTATTCTATTCTATTCTACTCTACTCTACTCTACTCTACTCTACTCTATTCTATTCTATTCACACTAAGGTTGTAACCTTTTGTCAAGATATTGACTGGTCACTTTTGAAAGGTGGCCTACAATATTGTTTCCTTTTTGTCCCCTTTGATTAAATAAAAAAGAATTATGAAACTGATAAGGCACTTCTGTTGTACCAAAAGCAGCCAAGCTGAAGGCAAGATGAGTAGAAATGAGCTAAGGGTGAAGAATTAAAACAGCACATCTTACATGGTCACCTACCAGCCTGCGGTGAATTCCACATGAGCATCAAAGAAGCCCGTGATATGCCCTGAGGCCACTTTCCAGCCTTCAATGCGAGCTCGGATCAAACCTTCTCTTTTCTGGTTACGGACTACCTTCACCAGGCCTGGATATCTCTTGTTGACATATTCTTCCAGTGGTGCCTTCAATTCTTCTAGAAGGAGAAGGAAAAACAATGAGCAAATACAAGAAGCTTGGGTGCCCATTTCACAGTATGTAGCCAAAGAACATCTGCACTCCCTGACTCTGTGGTTACTTCCCCAAACCCCCAAAACTTTAACCTTAGACTGTCTACTGTCGACCTCACCCCATTCCTAAGAGGTCTGTAAGGGGTGTGCATAAGTGCACCAGCGTGTCTACCGTCCCTGTCCTACTATCCCCATTTATTCGTATCCTTATCCTGTATTCATAATCATGTTTATACATATATTTGTTATCTTATACATGTTTGACAAATAAAATAAACAAATAAATCTTTTTTTTTTTTTTGAGGTTCTCCAAATCCACTTCGATAGCAATAGCACTTAAACTTATATACCACCCCATAGTGGGCAGTATACAGAATTAGCCTGCAATACTGCATTCTAACTACTGCACCACCTTGGCTCTCGACTAATAGAAATCTGTAGGATGGCTTCCCATCCTTTTGAGAAAGGAAACAAAGGAAGATGTTGGCATATAGCACTTAGACTTATATACCGCTTCATAGTGCTTTACAACCAGTGGGTGGGATTCAAGTAATTTAACAACCGGTTCTCTGCCCTAATGATTTCTTCCAACAACCAGTTTGCCAAACTGCTCAGAAAGTTAACAACCGGTTCTCCCGAAGTGGTGCGAACTGACTGAATCCCACCACTGTTTACAACCCTCTCTAAGCAGGTTGCAGAGTCAGCATATTGCCCCCAACAATGTAGGTCTTCATTTTACTGACCTCAGAAGGATGAAAGGATGAGTCAACCTTGAGCATATCAGGATCGAACTCCTGGCAGTGGGCAGAATTAATCTGCAATACTGCATTCTAACCACTGCGCCACCACAGCTCTTGAAAGAGGCAGAAATCTTTGAAAGAATCCACTCTCAGAAGGCATGGTCCAGACTTTTTTGTATCTTTGTCCCACCCTTTATGGCTCCTTGCTCTTAAAAAAATATTAAGCATAGTTTTCCAGCTAACCAAAAAAATCCTTCATCTGACATTTGGACATTGTCTCAATTGATCAACCGGTTTACACTGGCAAATAGCTTATTATCAGAATTTGCTCAAGCCAAGGTAGGCCCTGTGGTTCCCCTTGAGGAGATGGGACCAAAATGTTCAGACCTTTTGCTATTCATTTTATTGGGGGATTTTGGTGTTTGGTGATTTGGAGTTATATAGCATCTTAAGACTTGCAGAGGTCCCTAGATGTTATAGAAAAGGGATCCCCAACACTCGTTCCATGACCCAATGCCAGATCGCAGCCCCTTTGGAACTGGGCCACGGAAGTGGCGTGTGGGTGTCCATGCATGTATCAAACCCTGAAGTCCGGGGTTTGCCATGACAGGGCAGGACGGAGCACTGGTGAAGGGGGGTGTCGGAACTGCAGTGACGGAAGCAATGGAGCACTGGTGATAGGGGGCGTGTAGGAAAGACTGCAGCAGCGACGGAGGCAGCGACCGGGCTCAGCTGCAAAACAGGGAGGCATGGCGATGTGAGGGAAACTGCCAGCAGAGATCAGAAGCTCCAAGTGACAACCAACTATTCTGGCCTGAAAAGAGCCTTGGTGGCGCAGCAGACTAAAGCACTGTTAAGTAACACCAGCTGCCTGCAATTACTGCAAGTTCAAATCTCACCAGGCTCAATGTTGACTCAGCCTTCCATCCTTTCGAGGTAGATAAAATGAGGACCCGGATTGTGGGGGCAATAAACTGACTTTGTATAAAAAAGAACACCACGGGGGGGAGGGCGGGGGGGAAGCCCTACTAAGCAGGTATATACAAAAATATGAAGGCTATTGCTTAACGCATTGTAAGCCACCCTGAGTCTCTGGAGAAGGGCGGCATATAAATCAAATAAATAAATAAATAAATAAACAAACAAACAAATAAATAAATAAATAAATCAGCTGTTCTGGGGTCAAGCAGAGCCCCGCTCGCCAAACTAACACATGACTGACGATGGGCGAGCCCAGCCAGGGGGAAGAGGGCATGGCCCACCTAAGTAAAGCATGCTGGGAGGCGGAAGCTCCCAGCACTGACTTTGCATCTTTACAGACTGCTATTTTGCTGCTGCTAGAACTCAACGTGTGCCAGAGTCCGGCTGAATAAAGCCAGTTAGCCTACAAGCGTGTGCCGTTTTTGTACTGATTTAGGTCCGGAGCTCGGACTGTTGAGAGCGTGCTCACGTGTGTGAAGGCGCATTTGTGAAAATAGTGCACACGCATGTACACCCTTGCATTTATTCCCTCTCCCCACCCTACCCTGCTGCCATCACCTCCCCCGGTCCACTGAGTTGGAAAGATTAGAGACCTCTGTTATAGAAGACTCTTCAAAGTGAGGTATAGATCTTAGGAAAGATAAAGTTTGGTTAACTCCACATTTCCCATGATAAGTTAGATGAGAGGGAATTAGCTTAACTTTATGATTCATTACCAAAGTAGGTAACATTATCATTGCATTGATGATGTTACCTACTTTGGTAATGAAATGTCTGCAAGAAAACCACCAAGCTCAGAGAGCACTAAGGACACCAAAACAAATGTAGGTGTTTCCATACATATTTTTGCAAGCCAGATGTTCACCCGATTTTAAAACTATTTTTATTTTATTCAAAAAAAGTTAAAATATAAAACAAACAAAACAAAACAAACAAGACATTAAAAAGAAAAAGGTGCACTAAAAAAAAGACTAACACATATATATACACATATTGTCCTCCCTAATTAAATGCTGATTTGTATATTACAACAGGGGTGTCAAACTTGTGGCCTGTGGGCCAGATGCGTCACGCGCTGGCCATGCCCACCCCCAGTTTAGCAAAGAGGGGGAAAGTTGCAATATGTCATGTGATAACATGACATCGCGAGTTTGACACCCGTATTACAACAATATTAGCTTCCCATCCCTTGAGAAACAGGCCCAAAGAATTTTAAATGACTAAACTACTAATTCTATTTACAAATTGTTAACCTGTCATCTATATGCTATATTAATAACAAAATAATTAACAGGAAGAACAGCAGTAATAAAAAAGGACAAGATTAAAATTCCAAACCCCTCTCTCTGTTAAAGGTAAAGGTTCCCCTCTCACATATGTGCTAGTCGTTCACGACTCTAGGGGGCGGTGCTCATCTCCGTTTCAAAGCCAAAGAACCAGCACTGTCCGAAGACATCTCCGTGGTCATATGGCCGGCATGACTAAACGCCAAAGGCGCACGGAAGCTGGGACGGGAGCCCACCCTGTTACGTGGCACTAGGGATTTGAACTGCTGAAGTGCCAATCTTTTGATTGACAAGCACAGCCACTGAGCTTAGCCACTGAGCCACCGCATCCCTTCTGTTAAGTAACTCCTCTGTTAAGAAACTGCTATTGTAATCAACTCGTTAAAAATTTACCACGACTTCTTAACTATCCCAAAACATCCCCAAAATTAATCCTATTAATTTGTCCTGGATCAAATAGCCATATTTGATTCTTAATACCGTCTCTTATCAGTTGTTGTTTGATTAAATGTAATAGGTCCAATCTCCAAAGTCAATTTATCTTTCCATCAAATGGAATTCTTCTCTTTTCTATCCAGTCACCTCTCCTCCCTGTTTTTTATAATGCAACAATCTCAGGATACTGCAAGTAGTGGCCAGCAGCTACTGTCTAAAGATTTAGACAGCACTTCAAATCCAATTTAATGGCACCAAGTTCTATTTATGATTTCTAGTTCTGGTTAGTTGCCCTGTGACATGCTTTGCTGATCTTGGACATACCATAGTTTAGAGCACTAATTTGATGAGATCACAATAGCTCTACTGAAATTTCTGAAATAAATTGAAATGTCATCTTCTTACAGGATTTGAACATCAATTCAGAAACATGTGAAGGCAACGAGGTAGAGTACAGATAGCAACTTACAACACTTGGCTGGAAAAATAACATAGCAGTTGGCCAGAAAGCTAAATTAACAGATGACCTCATTTGAAACTAAGTCAAAAAGATTTAACCTACATGTATGTTGGATAAGTTAAAATTAATATATGGACTGATGATAATATATGGAGATTCCACCACACTGCACACTAATGTGGAATGTACAAACATGACGTTTCTTGAACCTATTAAAAGTGTCATTGTGTTCCAAGGTCAAGGATTTGATGAGCTGATCATAACCGATAACAAATAGCGATTTCTGGTTGACGTCGTGGCAAGAATGGCTGGAAAATAGCGGAGCTGTCGGAAGACCCTAAGGCCGTGATCGCGAACCTATAGCACGCATGCTGGAAGTGGCAAGACATCTCTCCGGACATGTGAGCTATCACCCGTTGCTCTTCCGGATTCTGGCATGCCAGCCAGCTGGTCTTCACACACATGGTAGCACCAGAAACCAGAAGAACAGCTGCCTGGTGCAAATGCATGTTCCAGGCGACTGCTGTTCTGGTTTCTGGCGCGCACATGCACACTGGCCACCTGGTCTTCAGCTTTCTGGTACACATGCATGTGAAGACCAGCTGGCCAGTGTGCATGTGCATGCCAGAAACTGGAAGATCATCTTCCCGACACGCACATGCACACTGGGTGGCTGCTCTTCTGGTTTCTAGCATGTACGCACACTCCCATTTCAGCAGTTGATGCCAGAAAGGTTCGCCAACACTGTCCTAAGGGGTCTAAGCCATCTTGGATGGGTGGTAAAGAAAGGAGAGGTGCTTCATCAACCCCGAGGAATTTCCTCGTTAGGTCCGAAGAAAGTTCTCCCAAACAGCAGCAGGAATGAAGGCCATTTTTTTGGCAAGTCACAAGCTGTGACAACCGGGACAATAACAAATAAAAAACAATAGCAATAGCACTTAGACTTATATACAGCTTCACAGTGCTTTACAGCCCCCTCTAATCAGTTTACAGAGTCAACATATACCCTGAATTGGCATCACAACAATTGAAATAAAGTTGCTACATGGACCAAAACGTGG